GGGAACAGACTGGGGGAAGAGGTAATGCTGGATTTGAGTCCTGACTGGGGACACATGCTCTGGGCAGGAAGTACAGGAAAAGGTTTTCTAGGCAAAAGAACAGCAATGGGGGATCCCCAGAGGTACAAAAGCAATTCTGAGTCGTGAGGCACCACAACTAATTCAGTCTGTGAACGAGTGGTTAATGCACTGATGTACAGAGTGTGTCTGTGCCGGCACATGCATGTGGCTTATTTCTTTTCTTGACAACAAACAGTATCAAAGCCTACTTATGCTCAGATTTTTGGCCTGTCACTCAAAGCCTTTTCCATCTGGTGACCATTATCTAAAATTACCACAGAAGAATTTGACTTCTTGATCTTAAAAGAGTGATCTTATTTCAGGGATGAGGGTAGGGTGGTGACTCATGTCTTAACATCTCTCCTTAACAAGGAAGACCAGAGGGTCCCCGGGGAGCAGCCTAAGCCATCAATCCTGGTGCCAAGATCTCCACCCATTTCTAGCTCAGAAACAGACCATCATAACCAGAAGAGCTCACTTTCCCATTTCATAGATGGCAAAACAGAGCCCTGTAATTCATCCAGGGTCTCACAGGGGTTAGTAATGGATAATTAAGCAAAATTCAAGTCACTACAGTTTTGGTTTTGGTACTGAGGATTGAACCCAGGGCCTTGGTACTAAACTACATTCCCAGAGGATTTTTGGGTTTGGTTTTGTTTTGTTCTGTATTGTGGCAAGGTTTCATGAAGTCATCCAGGCTGAGCTCAACTTGCAGTCCTCCTGCTTCAGCTTCCAGGGTGTTGGGAGTACAGGCATGCCTTACCACCCCTGGCTACTGTAGAGCTTTAGACGTCATTGCCTTGGGATATTTTTAGCATAGAACCAGACATCCAGCCCTGATCTGAATAAATCTTCATCAAGAGCAGTGCATTGTTGTCAATTAGGATGATATACTGAGTCATTTTTAGAACTACAGTTGGCATATTCTTAAAGGTATCTTTTGGGCTGATGGCCTGAAATAAAACATAGTTCAGAGGGAACACCATTAAGGCAAGCAGCATGCTGTGTTGCATTATGATCACAGTCACCTCTGGATGGAAGTGTTGCTGTTCCGTGCTACAGGGGAGGACAATGTGGCTGGGAAAGGAGGAGCTGGCTGTCTCTGTCCCAAGCCAGGCCTAACTCCACTGTGCCCCAGTAGGACAGGCAGACAGGTGCTTGGCTTGCATGTGTTCACACTGATACACCAGGGCACTGAGACTCCTGACTCAGCCAGTGTCTTAGTCACTTTTCTCATTGCTTAGACAACTACCTTGAAACCCAAATTTTAAGGAGGAAAGGTTTATTTGACTCACATTTTGTAGAGGTTTCAGTCCACCGTCACTGGCTCTAAGGCAGTGTGGCATGGCAGAGGGCCATCACAGAGGAAAATAGTTTATAGCAAGCAGAGGACAGCAAAAGCTTGCAAATAAAGTAGCAAACCAGCAAGGAAACTAGAACACTTTCTTTCTGCCCCTTTTATATTGTATCAGGCTACCAATTTAGGGCAGTGCCAAACCATCAGTGGACGAATTTAGTAACCACGCACCCTTAATCCCAGCATCACACAGTCTAGATCAAGCCGCCCCTGAAAAAGTCCTTCCTCTGACTACATGAGGCTTGTGGGGCCATCTAAATACAAGCCATAACTGCTAGTGAGTTCTTTTTAAATGAGTATTTGTTTTTAAAGCATAAAATACACACAGGAAACACACAACTCTTCAGTGTGCCGCTTAATGTTGTTTATGAACTGAGCACACTAATGTAACCAGAACTCAAATCAAGGAACAGAACAAAACCAGCCCCCAGGGTTACCCCGGGGCCCCATCCCATCTCTGTGCCCTCATAGTCATTCATTACCCTGCTTTTGAGCTCTATTCAAGAGTCACACAAAACATACTTTCTTTCACTCAGAATTCTGTTTAGGAGACTCATCTATGTTCTCCCCTGTAGCATTCTAGCACAGAGGTTACACAGTCAGTCCACTGTCGAGGGACAGAACCGCTGCTCTGGTTTGGTGCTGTCACAGTGACTCAGGAGAGGTAGGCAGCAACAGGCTGGAAAGTGACCAAAGCTGGAGAAGGAGAGGCTGGGCTCTGTCACCATCTGCCAGGAGATAGAGGACTCTCCTTCCTTATCACCTGGAGGCCACCTTCTACTGTTACCTGATGCTTGTGGGAGGTGAGGTGCTACTCCAGATGAAGCTTTGGGATTGTGTGGCTCGAACAAGCCTCGCTACCTTCCTAAGCCTCAGTTTCCTTTCCTCCAAAGCCGGGGTGAGATAGTCAAGTCAACCTCGAGGGTTGTTTTGAGATCTCAGTGAGATAAGTCTAGCACAGCCACCAGGACAGAATAGGTGCTCAGTAAATGCAGGTTAAGATGTAAGACAAGTTCCAGCTTCTGACTGCTTGAGTTCCATTCCTGGCTTTACCACTTACCAGCTGTGTGTTCTTAGGCAAGCAGCTCACTCTCTGATTCAGTTTCTTCCTCTTGGTAATAATTTTGGGCTGCTTTGATATAATTTTGATATACAAATAAAGAACGTAGTAAGTAGCCACAAGGTAAGTAGCATTTCCTCAGTGAATAAATCCTGGCTAGTTTTCTGCCTTCCCCAACATCCAGTGGCACAGACAGCAAACCCTGGGCCACAGGAACTAAAAGGAGAACATAGGAACTTGGGGAGAGGATCTGGCAAGGTAGTAAGGTGTTGAAGACCAGAAGGTGAAGGGATGGCAGGGCATTCCCAGGTGCTGGCGTGGCAGAGGACACTGCAGAATCAGGGCCAGACAAGGTAGGCCACAGGGAGCAACGGCGTTGGAGGAGGAAAGATGGAGATGCTCTGAGGGAGGAACCAGGGGTGACCTGAGGCACTGACACTGCGAGTGGGGCTGAGTATGGAAAACGGGGGCTGCCACCTCCCCTATCCAATCTCGTTTTGCATGGAGACAAAACAGTGATAAAGAAGTGACAGTGTTTAAAGCCACTAATGCTTCTTGAGGTGTCTCCTCAAGTGAAAGAGAGCTAGATGCAGCTTTGGGCGTGGCTTCTGACACACCAAGTCTGCTTTAATTTGGGGACCCCCTTCCCTGCTTTTTGTGAGACATTTTGGAGACTGAACCCAGGATCTGCACACTGAGCTATACCCTCATCTCTTTATTTAATTTTTGTGTTGAAACGTTTCACTAAGACTGAGTTACCCATGTTGATCTCTAGCTTGTGGTCCTCCTGTCTTGGCCTCCCGGAGTGCTGGGCTGACAGGCAAGGGCATTTTTTCTTATTAACTCTGCAGCTCTAGTAACTGGAAGTTCTGAAAAACACACTCTTGACCATATTCCTTTGTGATACTATTCCTATCACAACTCTCACGTTAATGTGTCCTGCCTGTGGCTTAAGGCTGTGCCTTAGAATGCTTTTAAAATATCAGCCATCTGTTATCAAAATAGTATTAAGATGCATGTTCCTGGGGCTGGAGGTTTAGCTCAGCGGCATAAGCGCCTGCCTTGCAAGCAGGCAGTCGTGAGTTCGATCCCCAGTACCAATAAAAAGGAAAAAGACAAAAAAAAAAAAAGATGCATGTTCCTGCAAGCTTGGTGAAACTATACCTCTGCCAGCCGTATAAGACAACTATGTGACCACTGTCAGGCTCATCCCCATCTGATGCAAGCTGGCCAGCACCCTTCCTATCCAAGCCTCTCAGCCTGTCCTGTTTCATGCCTCTGTCCCTCTGCCTTTTCTCTCTGCCTGTAACACCATGCCCATGTTCATTCCTATCCACCCTTCAAAACCCCCTTTTGATGTCCTCTCTTTAAAACTGTCCAACAGTTCCTCTATCCAGGAAGTGTCTAGCCTTGTGTCTGTAAGATTATATTACATATATTAGAACTCTTAAAAATTATTCACCTATGTTAAATCCCAGACCATGAACACTTGCTTATTTTCAGTGCTGCTGCTGGCCTTGGCTTAGTTAGCTGTGTATCTTCAGGGCCAATCAGAGCACCTGGAAGAGGATGAGTGTTTAATATGGGTGTTTGCAGTGAATCTAGTTAGATGTGGTTTAACTGGCCCTGTGTCCAGAAATTCCATTGCTTATGAATTTTTCCAGAACTGGGTGTTGGAAGAAAATTTGTTCCTTCACTGAGGATCAAAAGAAACTATGCAGCCAGCCATGGTGGGCCATGCCTATAATCCCAGCTCTCTCCGGAGGCTGAAGCAGGAGGAAGATTACAAGTGTGCACCCACCCTGGGCAACTCAGTGACTTAGCAAGATCCTGTCTCAATAAAGCGTTGGGGGGTGGGGATTCAAAATGCAGCTGAGGTCCTGGGCTCAGTCCCTAGTACTAGGGGGTGGCTATTGGAGGAAGTTTGTGAGATTGAGGGCATTTCAAAAGCTTAATCTGCTTTCTGCTTGTTTGTTTTGGTTTTAGGCAAAGTTTTGGTCTGTTGCCCAGGCTGGTCTGAAACTCCTGAGCTCAAGAAATCTTTCTGCTTTAGGCTCCCCAGTAGCTACAAACACTACAAGCACTACAAGCACCTAGCAGTGTACCCTGATTTTTAGAGGAATCTCCTGTGCAGATATACCTGAGGCCCCTGACTGGCAAACGTTGTTGACCATGACCTTCAGTGGGAAGTACTTTTCACACCTGACACACTGGTACTATCCTCCATCAGAAAGGAAGCTTTTATTTGTCCCTAAATCATCTCTCCCTTCCTGGCTGTCTTCCTTCCTCTCTTTCCCTCTTCTCTCCTCCGCCCTCTCCCCCCTCCCCCACCTCTGTCTCAGTATTACCTGTCAGACAACACTCCAGTTCCACTGTAAACACAGGACCACACATGCACGGGCACGCGCACGCACACGCCCAGCTCCATGCTCACCCCAGCTGGAGGCAGGCAGTATGCAGGAGGTAGGGACGAAGCGGGAGAGCTTCACAGGTGCTGGACTGACTGCTTCCCTCTCTTTGCAGCCGAGCCCCTGCCGCTCATGGACCTTTGCAGAAGATCTATCCGCTCCGCCCTGGGCCGCCAGCGCCTGCAGGACATCAGCTCCCTGCCCCTGCCTCAATCTCTCAAAAACTATCTGCAGTACCAGTGAGCTGGAAGCTGAAGGACAGTGGATACCCGTGGGCGCAGGGCTGCCTGTCACATACGGTCACACAGTCCATTCGGGATGGGGTCTTCCCTCATTCCCAGGATGCAAGACCAACTGGGGAGAAGGGCAGCCCTCGCAAGCCCGAAAGCCCCTTGGAAGCCACGGGGAGCCTGGCACCTGCCCAGCGACGCCCTGCAGCTTTGTATTGCTCAGAGAAGCTGCTTCCTTATTCAAGAGAATGAATAAAACATTGGGACAGGAAACTTGCTGTGGTGTGGCCCATCGCAGACTTGGCCTGCGTGAGGAGAAAACTGTCTCTGAATAATGGATGATGAAAGCAGCTCATTGCCCATCTCCTGCCCCTGGCAAGGGCAGCAGGATTATGATGCCGTCTTAGGACTCTGTGCCACTTCGAGAAGCCGTTCCCCAGGGATGCCCAACAGCAGAATTGTCCAGGGTAGAAAGCAACGCTCAGACACCTCCAGTTTACCTCTGAACGTGGCTTCCCCCAGTCTCCTTCCTGGCCCCTGCTAGAGTCCTCCCCTACCTGGCCCCTCTGTTTAAGGAGTGGAGTCCAACTGATTCACCCCAGAGACAGAGTTTACCCTTAATTATTATTTTTTTTAAGTAGCGTTTGCATTTTAAAAGAGTGTGGGAGGGCAGTCCTCAGTCCAAAGGTGCTAAGGGGGGTCCAGGCCGTTGTGTGTGACATCCAGGCAGAAACTGCTGGAGGCTGGGGAGCCCTCTAGGAGTGTGGGGCCCTCTGAGCAGCCTTGCAGCCATGCAGCTTGGCTGTCACAAAGCTGTCTTCAAGGAAATTATTTTTTCACTTTGGGAGACTTCACAAGTTTGTTTCCTGTTGAAATGCGTGTGTGTGATGTGCTGATTATTTATCACCTTGGAGCCCATGGGGCAGCCTTGTAACTGGAAGGGTGGATGTGGGAGACACCTTCTCCACCCCCCAAGCCTGGTCCTCTCACCAAACTATGCTGCTTCTGCTGCTGCTGCCACCACCACCATTTGACATTTGTTGTGCGTTTTGGATGCGCTCCACCCAGACTCCCTTGTAACTGGAAATCATCACAGCAGTGGGATACCAGAGCCCCAGATGGCACTGCCTCTCCCCACTTTAATGTGAATTTGACCGATGAATGAGGAGCGTTTCTAATAAAGTTTGTCATTCAGTCTTTCAGGCTGTCTATTAAGTGTTCTTTGGCAGAGGTAGGGAAAGTGCCCTCCATCACTCTGGCTGGTTGGTCTCAGACGTACAGAAACCAACATGCAAAGGCTTCTGCAGGCCCTCTCGCCTCTTTCTTCTGTGCCCCTACTGAGCTCCAAACCCCAGGGGCTGACCTGGAAGACAGGGCATGACTGCAACCATACAAAACTGGCCATGGCGGTAGACAAGCAGTCAATCTCCTGATACTAAGGCCCGGATGACCAAGGGGTAGGTTGCTCTGCAAGGGGATTCAACAATAGGAAGGACAAAATCTTACAAGGCACCAGTTTCCAAGCAGACCTGGAGGCGGAGCTGGATGTGGTCATGGTGCATGTGTGTTGTTACCGAGGAGTGGTGCCAATTGCTGGGGCTGAGTGAGGCAGGGCCAGGTTCAGGGCTAATACAGGAGAGGAGATGGAGACAGACTGGAATCAGGCTCAGACCCAGCCACCAACATACTGTGGCAACTTCCATGTCCAAGTGGCTGATGGGCCCCAGCCTCAGGGGAGACATGCATAATGTAGCATGAGTGGGAAATTGCTCCCCAAGGGGTAGGAGAGTATGGGTGTGAAGGGAAGCCTTCCTGGGGTAAGAGCCACCTTCCAGACCTGCTATTTGAAGGAAAGACACCTTTCCTGAGGATGAACCAACGAACCAGACTTGGGGGACCTGCCTGGTCTGGGGGACCTGCCTGGCTTCAGCCTGACTAGTTTCCAGCTTTGTGGTTGCAGAAGGCAACTTCCTGCAGAAGCAGGGATGACCGTTGGGACCTGGGAGCTTGGGTTTGAGCCCCAGCTTTGTCACTTTCTTCATTGTGATCTGGGGTATACCACTTCCTCCTCTGCACACAGGGGTTGGATCAGGTAGACAGTGACTGGGGACCTTCCCTTCCCAACTCTGGAGATCCATCTCAGCACCACTTCCCCTGTGGATGTGTCCATCTAGTTTCGGCTTCCAATCCTGTAGTTTCCCCCAGCCCCAGTGACCCCTTATCTTTGTTTTACCTCTCTAGGATCTCGTTTAGATGAGCTGTTTTCCTAGAAGCCCTCCTTGACCACCCAGCTGCTCTGACTAAGCACCTGGAGCATTTGGACTGAACCCTCTCTGCCATATGGCTCCATCTGTCCAGAAGGCTGTCAGCCTCTGGAAGGCAGGGCCTGTGCCAGTGCCTTCCCACTCAGTCTGGCTGCACTGCCCCTGAGCCAAGCCAAGCTCAGTGCACCTGTGCATGTAAGCCATAAACACCTCCAAGGTTTGTTCTTCAGCAGTGTCCCTGTGTGGGGACCTAAGCGTGCACACACACACACACACACACACACACACAGAGAGAGAGAGAGAGAGAGAGAGAGAGAGAGAGAGAGAGAGAGGGAGAGAACAGTTCCCCCGCAGACTTCCTGGATGCCTGTGACCACCCTTTGGTGCAATGTCTGTGGTGACCCTGTACCTCCCACACATTCACTGAAGTTTGGCCCTCTTCATGACCCATTTCTGGCAGGTATCAATTTTTAACTATGAACAGCACATATGGTGGGGAGGCATGGTATCATATAGATCTAATCCCTGCTGAGTACCCTGGTTCACTCTTTGCCTATCTAATGTTTCTATATCCTGGACATAAGCCATCCTCTTTCTCTTGCTTTCCTCCTCCATCACCTACACAAGCAGCTGACTCCTTTATCTTGAATAAAGATTTCAGCCCCTCATGAGGATATAATAAAAGTGGCTGCAGGTAGTCAGAACCCCAGTTATGACAACTGATTTGCGCCAGGGCAGCTGTTCTGCTCCCTAGCACCTCACTCCCAGCCACCGCCTCTGAACAGGCAAGGGACATGTGGCATTCCTCTTCAGGGCCCACACAAAGAATAGAAACCCCCAGTAGTAATCTCAAACAGGAGTTCTGAGAACCTGGTCTCATGCCAGCCTGTAGATGGGTCTTGTCCTACTTCATGTGCGTGCATGTTTTAATACAATTGGCCCAACAGAAAGCAAGTAATTTAACAATAAGTCCAGATTTCAGACTTTTCTTTCAAAACAGGGAAATGTAGTGGAGCCAGGCCCGCATTCCTTCATAGTGATGCTGGCCAGTGCTGAGTTGTGACTGGTCTCGAGAGAGGACCTCTGTTCTGTGGTCCACCCTCTCGCAGCACATCAGAACCTCTCACTGCCAACCTCCCTCCTGGGCGTCAACGCCCATGATGCACTTTGGGAGTAATAAATACACACACACACACACACACACACACACACACACGGCCAATGGAAGGCCCCAGAGGGGACAGCTGGCTAGTTCTGCAGTTCTGCACATGATTTTGAAGTATCTCACAGGCTCAGTCATTGATGTTCAAGGAGCTCACAAACACACAGGATCTTTACTCAAACCTGGAGACAATGGCCAAGTCTCTGGATAGATTGTAAACTCCTAAAAACCAAGAATCCTTGAGTCCTCTTTTTAATGAGCTGGGTGATGTAATTAGGAAACCTGACTACACAATTTTAGTCCTTTGAGGAAATTTACACCTGCCTGACTACAGCCCAGTTAAATTACAGCCTCTGGAAGGGGAGGGTCAAGGTAGCATTAAAGCTCACCTTGTGATTCTAACATGCAGTGAGGTCTGAGAACCTCTGGAGGAGGTACCCACATCGTCATCTCAGTGGCAAAGTGGTTGGTGTTAATGCAAATACACATTCTCCAACAGGCTATGCCACCCAACCCACCCAGCATTTCCAGGCAATGGAGCACACTGGGTAGTGACTTCAGCATAATATGCCCAAGTCCAAGGCTAAACGTCCAAAGCCAGCGAATTCTCCCCAGCCATTCTTTCTTCCTAGTGATGCTGAGCTGGTTGTTAAGAGTGGGAAAGGACAAGTAGCTTCTGCCTTGATGCTGCACAGTTTTTAACAAATTAATTCCAGCTTTGCCCCTTTCCTTGACCTGCAGGGCCCATCATATGTGGAGAATCTTTCAGAGAGCATTGGCATGAGCAATTAGAATAACTTTAGAATGATAAGCAAAAATAAGCCTGAAAATTGCTTGGTCTTATATATACTGTTTTGGATAGAAGAATTTGAGATAGTGAAACCGACCTATAAGGAAAGTTTGATTGCTAGTGTTTCCAAACCTTGTTCCTTCAAGCAAGATAATGAATTTGATAATATTACACCCCTCCACTACTCTGGTGGGTTTGAGGACTAAGATAGGTCAGTCACAAGCCAACCCTGGTGTGGTAGCAGTGTCCCCGCCTGCTTTATCCACTCAACAGGCAGGGATCTTTTCCTATATGGAACCTTGGGGTGGAATGAGTGCCCAGCCCTGTCCACCCATGTAGGAGGATCAGAGTAAGCAGGACAGAGGCTACTGTCCCTACTCCCTTGGGACTTTCCATTGCAAGGGAGATACTATGCTGATTTGCTGCACAGGGATGGCATTTGAAGAGAAGAGTGGCCGATTAGTGATCACTTTGATCAACAAATGGCTCTATCACATTGTGTGCCAGACCCAGGGCACCCCTGCTTCCCAAGACCAGCCACAGACCTCCACTGGGTGAGTGATATCCACAGGAGTAAACACAGGGTCTTCCATATGCTGATGGTGTGGATAACAAGACCAAAAGATTTAGGGCAGTGCAAAAGCAAACACTGGAATTGGAATTGTGGAGGCCTCAGAGTATTATAGAGAGTGTGGAGGGGTACTTTAATTACTTTCTTCATTACTGGGGTCGCCTACAACTTGGAGAGGAGATTTATTTTGGCTCCTATTTTTAGTCCATGATTAGCTGGTGCCAGTGCATAAACAATGGAAGGACAGCTGGGTGGAGGAGAGCTGCTCATCCTATGGCAGCCATGAAGCTGACAGAGAAAGGAGAAGTAATGGAAAGACCTTCCAGACTATGCCCCCAGTGATCTGTCTATTTCAACCTGGTCTCACCTCCTAGGAGCACTTAACTATGAACCCATAGCAACAATGAAGAGCATAGCACCTCTGTGATCCAATCAGCTTTCACACACTTGATTCTTCAGGGGAAACATCTCAAATCTAAACCATAACATTCTGCCCCTGGCCATCAAAACATGTACATCCATCTCATTTTGCCAGTCTTAACAATTCCAGCATGATTGAAAATTCCAAATCCAAAGTCTTCTCTGGAACTCAAGGCAAACTCTTAGCTGTGAGCCCCTGTAAAATTCAAAGAGAAGGTTAAGTGCTTCCAGTATACACAGCACAAGATAAATATTCCCATCTAAAAGGGGGAAGTGGGGAGATAAAAAGAAATAGGACCAAAGCAAGACCAAAACCCAGCAGGGCAAAGTGAAATTCTATAGCTGCGTGTTCAGCACCCAAAACAAATGATGGCAAAATGTAAACCCCAAAAAGTTTGGGAAACCCTGTCCCTACAGCATTGCTGGTTGTAGCTTTCATGGTTTCTCTTTTGTGGTGGCTCCACTCACTGCCTGAAGCTCTCCCAGCAGACCTCCAATGTTTTTGGCATCCCCAAATTCCAGGGACCTTCACTGCACTTCCAGTTTCACTCTCACTTCATATGTTGCCATCCCAAAGGCACACTGGTCTCCCTTCTGAAATGTTGGTGGAAGTTTCCATGATCCCATAATTCTTGCACTGCATGCCTATAAAACTAGCATCATGTGGACGATGGCAAGGTCTGCTGTCAGCTTGAATAGCAGTCAGGCCCCTTTGGATTATGGGTGTGGAGGTCCATGAGTATCTGGACTACTGAACACTATACAATGCACATCAACTCCCTAGGCATCTCTTAAGCAGAGAGCCAAGGATATCTCTTCTCAAATGAATGCTTTACATTTTTCACCTTTGAGCCTGGAATAGCAGCAGCATAAAGAAGTTGTTTCTCAGAACCAGGTTCAGAGTGCTCAGCGATCCAGGCACTTGACCCCTACACAACATCATCTTCCCCTCCAGAGCCAGGAAGCAGTAAAGTAAGGGCCAGAGTTCCCCCAAA